GGGAGCCGCTCTCCACCAGGCGGTCCCCGCGCGGCTGAGCCCGGGCCGCCCGCGCCGCGGCCCCCAGCGGCGTCCCCGAGTCCCCGCTCCCCGCCGCGCTGCTCCGAGCAACGGTGCTCCGGGGCTCCAGACTCGGGCTGCCGGGGCAAGTGTCTTCATGAACCCAGAGGATGTCCGGGAAGCACTACAAGGGTCCTGAAGTCAGTTGTTGCATCAAATACTTCATATTTGGCTTCAATGTCATTTTTTGGGTAAGTTGGAGTGCTCCTGGGGTTTCAGCGATTGTGACCGATCGATTGGCGACGATTTTCCTTTCATTGCTCGCTGCCTTCACTTTTCGCAGCCCCTCAGGCGCCTGCCGGAGCGGGGGGCAGGCATTTGCCTTCCGTCTTTGCAGCTTGAGCTTTGGAGAGATAACGTTTAATCCTTTCTAGGAATGGGAAGAGGTAAAAAGAAAAACCGAGCCGGAAGGGGGGGCACCCAGGCCTGGGGGAGGCTTGTTAAGGGACAAATAGCAGGGATGCAGATAAAAGAAAGGGCTCGGCAGTTTGAGAGAAGAGGCACGAATTAGGTTTGCTCCCGGTGGGATACGGACGTTGGGCAGAGCGTGGTGTCATGGTACGGAAGGCTGATCGGGCAGAGCCGACCCTGAGGTCCACCTTCTAACAAGGATCTGATTGGCCGAGGGCTTGGCTCTGTGTTGCCGCGGCTGGTCTGTGCCATGCTTGGCGTGTATTTTCTTGCACCATCTCGGGCTTTGTGTAGGATGCAGATGCCCTGGTATATGGTTCTGTAATGTGCACGGAAATAACGCTTCCTGCACGTTCTTCCCCTTCAGCTGGAAAGTGCTCCTTTTGCATAATGGACCGGCCAGTGGGCGTGTGGGATGGAGGGGTTTATTTCTCTCTCTATATCATTGTCAGAACAATAACGAGTCAGCATCAACATATGTTTGAATGTGTTCGTGTCTCACGTCCTCCTCTTTTAAGGAGTGACACAGAGCGGGCCGTTTTGGGGAAACCTTGGAGAAACGCAAAGGAGAAGGTGTGCGAGACATGTTTTATTGGGCAACTGGGAGAGCAAATGCTTGAACACAAGATTCAAACCATGCTCTGTTTGGCATGGCAGTGTGCTGGGCACCTATTGTAATCAGGCTGGGACGCCTACTCTTTTGTTTTGATTCTATTCCGTGATCTCGTTAACGTTCAGCACTCAGAGGAAGAGTTCTCTAGGACAAGGGGAAACGTTGACTAGGATAGCATGCTTTTTTCCCTCTCCATCTCATCCCATCCTCTTCCTCACTGGGCACCCCCTCCCCATGGAAAGTAAAGATGGTGGCCGTCTGGGGGTTCTCCAAGTTGCTGTTCAGTGTGAGGTAAACAATGATCCAACTGCAGGATGGATAATATAGTCCACAGCAGTCTGAACACAGGATGTATTTATTTGGATTCTCCTTTAATTTTAGCTCTTTGCTATAAATATATGTATCTGTGAGAATAGTTGTCAATACAGCTCTTTGTATCCTATTTTTTTTTTTTTGTACTACATTTTTATCAGGTTTTTTTTTGTTTTCTGCAATAGTGTCTACATTGGTCATGCATGTTTTGCGAAAGACGAAATGGAAGAGATTGGAGACCACTTTCTGTGTCAGCATGTCATCTGTCTTCAGGATTGATAAAGATAATGAGGTGGACACGTGAATAGATATCATATACAGTCACTCACAGGCAATTTTTTGCAAGTTATTTTACGTGATTCCTGTGAGCAGTCCCCCGCACCTGTAATCAAATGCTGTTACAAATAAAAGAAAAAGAAATTATTTTCTTTCCTTGCTCCCCACTCTCTTCCTTCTGGAAATGTTTAAAAGTGGTGGGTAGTCTATTTCTGAGGGAGGTATTCTGATTTTGTTGGAACTTGAAACTTCGTGATTTTGAAAGGCAGGAACTATGGAATTGGTACTGGCCCTCCTTGGGGTAGTGAATTTGGGCCTCTTGATTCTACTTGAACACTTCCAGAAGTTGTACATTTAAGCTACCAGTCAACAAAAAGCACCCAGGGGCTTTCTCTGCAGTTTCATTGCGGAAAAAGGAAATAAAAGGATTTGGGCCTGTTTTCCTGACAGTCTGGCATAATTTTGTAGAGTACACAGTGGCGAATTTAGCCCTTTCTGTGGATTAAGTTGCAGCAAAACCCCTGGAATTGTGGACAACTTCAAAGAATTGCCGTGTGCTTGCATGGAGAGTTCCAGAATAGAGCCACGTCTTGTCTGATTTTGAAGATCTTCACGGGGAAGAGGAGGGGTATTTCATGGGAAGCTTGAAAGCAAACCTAGGCTGTGGAACTAAATCAACTGCCCCAGGTAGAATTGTTAAGTAGGTGCCTTCCTTATGAGGGCTTGTCTCTTTCCCTGCTTTCTGTATACCCTCCCCCTCCTTTCTATGCCCAAAGCCTTTCTCTCTGATACCTCCTAATTTTCCTATCCTGTTCTCTGCTTCAGAATTACTCCAGATTTAAATGTCCCAGCATATCAGTACCGTGGTCTCTAGTGACAATCAGCAGGAAGGCAACCAGGTTATTTGATTAAAGTTACTCAGACTAAAATGTTAGTGACTGAACAAGTGGGGCCAGTAACTTAGCCTGCTTCTGAAAAGTTGCACACCTCTGCTCTATACAGGGCCTCCAACCTGTCTATGCTTGCCAGAAACAGCAGACTTGGTGCTACTCATATGCAGTTATGAAGAAGAGATTGCTAACAGAGAGCATGGTGTGCTAATCTTTTATTTTCATACTGAAGTGCTAGAATAAACTTGAAATGCATTGAAGATATATGGAGGTATAGTTCTGCTAAGATAAAATTGAACATATAATAGCACCAACACAAAATTTGGTTCTTTTACTTATCAGCAGTTTGACTCTTTGTTAGTCAACTGCCTGTGCCTGAGTTTTTCAGCTGTTAAAAAGGAGTTTGATGGGGCCGAGCCCGTGGCTCACTCTCGCCGCGGGTTTGGATCCTATATAGGGATGACCGGTGCGCTCACAGCGCTCACTGGCTGAGTGCGGTGCGGCCGGGCTCAAAAAGGACCAAAAAAAAAAAAAAAGGAGTTTGATGGGGCCGAGCCCGTGGCTCACTCTCGCCGCGGGTTTGGATCCTATATAGGGATGACCGGTGCGCTCACAGCGCTCACTGGCTGAGTGCGGTGCGGCCGGGCTCAAAAAGGACCAAAAAAAAAAAAAAAGGAGTTTGATGGGGCCGAGCCCGTGGCTCACTCTCGCCGCGGGTTTGGATCCTATATAGGGATGACCGGTGCGCTCACAGCGCTCACTGGCTGAGTGCGGTGCGGCCGGTCTCAAAAAGGACCAAAAAAAAAAAAAAAAGGAGTTTGATGAATTGTAAGGGTCTTTCTAGTTCTGGCACTAGAATGAATCTATGGAGTTCCACTATGCTGCGGATGAAAAATACAAGACATAGGCACTAATATATAATAGAAATAGCATATACTGGGGTACTGATTAAGTTATAGATATTTTGTCTTACTGAGAGTTGTCTGAAGATCAGTTTTATTACTTTCATTTCTTCCTCAGAGATACTTTCATTTAAAAAAACATCTTTCACTAATTTCTTCTTGGCTTATTCAGTTATTGTTATAGTATGCATGCTTCCCTGTCCCCACTGTGAATCTCAAATGCAGTCCTATGAGTCATTAGATATATTTTTATTATTAGAATTACAGTTTCATGTGTAAAATCTGAACCCTTTTATATAACAGTTGTAGTGATATTCTGAGTAACAAAGTCAACATCTTGTACAGATTCCTTTCTCATTAGTTATCACAGGGTGATAGGGAAAAACGTGTTTTTCCCTGTTATTTATTGGAACAACTCAAGACAGAAGGGAATTTATTTTATTGAAGGTGTCACCATACTAGGATATTTCTCAGAAAACCCTGAGACAGCTTTGGGGTGAGGAAGGAAGAGAAAGAGGGTTTTGTTTTAAAGTCATTCTTTTTGTGTACTGAACCCCCACATCCTGCCACCCACCATTGATAGATGTTTTGCTCTGGACCTTTTTGGATTCTGGCACCAATACTTAACTGTTTCTAGGCAAGTACGTTGATCTCAATATTCTGGGTATTTATTGCTACATCACAACCCCAAAACTTAGTGGTTTAAGACAAAACTTTATATAGCTCACAGTTCTGTGATATGGCCAGGCTCATCTGGGCGATTCTCACTTGGGGTCTTATCATGCAGTTGCAGTGAGATGTGTCTGGGGCTGGAGTTATCTGAAGGTTCATTGAGGCGGGATGCCCAAGATGGTACATTCACATAACTGGTAGTTGATGCTCACTGAGAGCGCAGCCAAAGTTGTCTGCTGAAGCACCTACACATGGCTTCTTCCTTCTCTGAGACTGGAAAAAGAAGCTTCCTGCCAGTTAAGGCTATACCTGGAACTGGCACAGTGTCACTTGCATCTATTCTATTGGTTAAAGCACTCATGAGGCTTGTTCAGTTTTAAGGGGGTGCAGAAACAGATGCCACCTTTTAATGGGGAAGTATCAAGGTCACATTGCAGAAGGTCATGTTGGTTGTGGCCGTCTTTGGAAAATACAATCTGCTGCACTGAGCCTTAATTTCATGTTTATAAAAGAAAGATAACATTATCTAATGGAGTTATAATTTCAAGGATTCAGTGAGATAATGTATTACCCAGCACAATGTCTCGATATTTAACAAATGGTGAGTATCATTATTGTTATTGTCTCCAGATTTCATACAGTTCCATCCCAGGCTAAAGAACTTCTGGAATGCCTTAGTATGGTACTTTGGCATCATTACTACCAGGTAATGATAATACCCTTAAGATCTGCCAAGAAGATGAGGTGAATGGATTCAATAGATTTTATTGTGACTTATTAGAGAAAAAACCCATGGATCAATGGAGCCTTGAATGACTTTGGGAGAATCAAGTAATTTTTCTGTTCTCTTTGCTGTACAAGGATTAGAACAGGCTTGGATACTTGAGGCCAAATTTCTCTTTTGGTATGCTTTCAGATAGTACATTGTGTCTCTAAGTGGAGGCTTATTCAGGTTTGATGGCAGAATGTTGCATCTAATTTGCTTCCATAGGGTTTAAATTCAGAGAGGAGGGAGATTTAGGGAACCTCGAGGGGGGCATGAAGTAGGAAGCCTTATCTCATGATTCATTATAAATCGCAAGATGTTCTGGAGTGATGATACGTCAGCAGTTTAT